CATGTAAATAATTCTTTAAAATAAAAAGTATTGTCTATTATACCATATTCTCTACTGTTGAGTCTATATTGAAAGTGATGTGATGCAAATTATTCTCAATAAGCAATTATAGAAGGCTAATGGTGAATGAAAAAAAAAAAAAGAAAAGAAGTCAGCTTATCTCAATCAATATTGTATAACTATAAATTAGCCTCTTTACAAACTTCAACATAAATTCATAATCTGGCCACAGATAGCCACCAGAATACTAATGTGACAAATTGTAAATCTAGCTTTAGGAAAAGCTAAAATTTTCACTGAGATAAATCTAGTCTTTAAAGCAGCCAACAGACCCGGGTTATGTGATTTTTGTTTTCCCCCAAATCCTGCCTGAGATATTAACAATAGTTAAATCATGAGAGTCACTTAGTGTGTAAACTCATTCAGTGCCATCTCACTGTCTACAAAGTAAACCCACAGTAATATCCCTTCTGATTGGTTAAAAAATTAAATCAAGTCTACACAACAGGTTTCCAAGATATTCAAAATGGCTCCTAAACTTCCTGACAGACCTTTTATGTATGTTTATTTTTAAAGGCATGCTTATCTGAATGCCTTTAATATACAATGCTTTAAAAGTGTGCAGTAATTCTTTTCATTAAATGTCATGATTCTATGAATGAGGTATTTTGAAAATATGGTGTTGTTTATCTTTTAGATACCCAAACCATATCTGCCAAATTTTGTGCAGGATTTGCATATTGTCCATTTTTTAAAAAAAAAAGAGCGATTTCTGAAAGATTATTTTTAAGAAAGTTATGAAGATTTGTATAATTTATTCAAAACTTAAAAAACTAAAATTTGTAAAAAATTATTTCAATTTAATTTTTCATAGATTTTTTTTTTTTTTTGTCGGTGGGGGTGGGGGTTATTGTTTAAATCTTCATTTTGCGACAAAACAACTATTTAAACGAAAGAAAATATTTCAAGCTTTGGGTTAACATCAATGTTAAAAATTTTTCATTGATATATTTTTTGTTTTTAATCATTCATCTTCTAATGCATTTATACTTAGTTAATAAGTGAAAAAAAGTAATTCAGAAAATTTCACCCATCCATTTTTTTTTTTTATTTGTAGGTTTCACAATTATTTTCCAAATAAGACATTATTTTGCGCAGCTGAGTTTTCACTGTTATATTTATTGTATTTGTTTGTTTTTTTTATCTTTAATGTCATGTGCCTTCAGGATGTAAGCAATCATAACTTTCATTATTATCTGTGAATTTCTTTCTTGGGAAAGATAGTGGAGTGTTTTCCTATTGCCTTCTTCACAATTTGGAATTCAGAGGCTCAATGCCACTTAGAATTTGAGATCCCAGTTTATGATGTTATTTAACCCCTAGCTGGAGATGGAAAAAATGGATTCATGAATTTCCAAAGAGTATTTAAACAAAAGTGTACACAGCAGATGAGTCCAGAATTTTAACTCAGCTCACCAATTCTGCTTGTGACACTGACATTCGTTATACTACGTGTAGACTACAAAATAAAATTGTTATGAACATAATCCTGCACCATATGGATTCATGTAACTAATTTTTCATGTTTCTATTTTTATTCATAATTTATCTTATATATGACGGGGTGTTGAAAAATTCTTGGTCTGACCTACTTTTCAAATTATAACCAAACAGGAGAATTTTTTCAGGGAAAGGCTTCTTAGTTGAACAGAGAACTTTTCAGCAACTCTTCATATAAATCTAAGGATTTTACTCCAAAAAATTTCTTTTAAAAGATGCAATGCTGCATGTTAATACATTAATAGAATTCTTAAATAAACAGTATTTCTGATTATGACAGAATCAACCAACTTATCGATCCGTTGTGCTTTGGTAGATACAGATTTAATCTCTTGGTCAAACTGACTACATGACTTATGGCCATATTGAAACACTGATTCTCGTACAAGCACTGAAGTTAACCAACATCGAGACTGGTCAGTATGTAGATGGGCGACTGCTTGAGAATATTAGTTGTTCTAAGCTTGGATATTCAGGTGAGTTAATGGTTAATGACCCAGAATTGGAAATTAGAGAGCTGAGTTCTAATTTCAGTCAGGTTCATTGTATTCACTTATGCACAAATACCCTTGGGAAAGGCATGAATCCACCACTTCCTCTCTCCAACTATGGGTTAATTAATAGGACTTGTATCAGTAAATCATTATTATCTCCGAAAACGTCTTACAATTTAAAAATATTTTCTGACTTTAAATAACCTGCAAGAGGTTAATAAGCCATAAAAAGCAAATCAATCAATACATAACTATATCTAGTGTTCTTTTATAATATCTTTGATACTAACTTATATTACTGAAATAATCAAGCTGATAGGAAATAAATCTGGTTTCAACTTTGACCAACATGAGTTTTGCAAGGGAAAACAAAGATTCAATAATTCAAACTCCACATACATACACATACCTACGTACGTACATACATATATATATATATATATATATATATATATATACATACACGCACACACAAAGGTAGGCGTTGCTATTTAACATTGTCACATTGCAAAATGCTACAGTGAATCTCCTTGTGAAATACCTACTGGATATATTCATGTATGTAAGTCACTAATGAAGTGCTTTTGTAATTTAATGATGTGGAACCTACACCACCTTCCCTTCTGAACTTCCTTGCCTCCTGCCTTTCCTTCCTTCCCCTGCCACTAGACATCTCGTTGAAAATTGACTTGAATATTCCTGATCCTCTGTCTTCATTAGTCTCCAGTATCTCGCATATAGAGTAAATAAGTAAGTGTGTATGTGTTTTAAGATATTTACACTATACCATTAATCTGAGTGTGTTGAGGGCACACTCACATACACATTAGTATGTGTGTATGACTGAAAGGAAACTTATGTACCTATGCAAAGAATGTGTGCACTATATAAATATACAAAATGGCTAGTATATTTAATTTTTTGCTTGGACACACACGCACACACACACACGCACACACACACACACATATATATATATATATATATACACATATAATGGTAATATTAACCATTTCCTTATAAGGAAAAATTTGGTATTCATTGACCAAGCAATCAGTACAACTTTCAGTTGAAATTTATCAGATCTTTCTCTTAAAAGAATTTTTCATAAAAATAGGTTTCTCGAGTCCACCAGCTGTTATCATTCTTTCAGTATTGATGGGGGTTTCCTTCCTAACCTTTTATTTGAAGTAGAGTGGTATATCAGCATCTTGATTGTATCATTATTTTCTCATCGATTTACATGTGCTATCCATTTTAGTTGTTGCTGCTGTTGAAAGTACTCAAGTGATATGGTTTCTATTATCTGGTACAATACTTTGTTTGTGATTCTGTAGCACCAGTCCACAAGGCTTGAAGTATGGTCTTCACTCCCTCAAAGCCAGTTTTAATCATTGAATATAGAAACCAGCTGGATACAGCTGGCATTTTAGATATTTCTGAATGGCTTTGGTGGCATACATGAGATCCACATAAGTCTTGATCTGACAAAGCTATGTAAGAATATGATTTGAGTTTTTATATATATATATATATATATATATATATATATAGAGAGAGAGAGAGAGGAGAAATATATTGAAAACACTTTCAAGACCCTATTTTATATTCAATGCAAAACAAAAGGCTCATAAAATATTCCAAAATGGGAGAACAATATATTTTTTGGATTCATTGGGTTTGTCTCTATCGCAACTACAATTGAATAGAATTTATCTAAACTTAACGTAAAATTTGTCATAATTACATCTAAAACAAAAAGATTTAATCAATACAAAACAAGCCAAAACTTGAAAGGGGAATTTACTCTATATTTTGTTAGGATTGCCAGAAAGAATATATTGGAGAAACCTCAACAAGTCTAAATAAAAGATTATAGGAACACAAATGAGACATTTTAAAAAACAACACAGACACATTAGTTGCTCACCATAATGAAACTGACCACAATTTTGATATAAAAAATGCTACTCCAATAAAGAAAAAACAATTCACTAAAATGAAAATGTTTAGAAAGTGCTTTAATCACTAGTTCATCCACAGTAAATTTGTGTCATCCAGGTTCTTATGTTTCACCATTCTTGGCAAATCTTCTGTTATCACAATGTGGGATATTTAATAACAAAGATGGTGGAAATAAAAAGATGTGTAAATTAGATGATTATTTATCCATCGCACCCAGTGTGTATGTATGTATGTATGTGTATATATATATATATATATATATATATATATATATATCCAGAAAACAGTATATTGCATGCATGGATAAAGATACTGTACCTATATGAATAAAACAATATATCTCTATTCTGATTTTCTTTATTATATTTGAGATTTCTAACATATTTTACTCCTTAACTGTAGCATAAAAAGTAATTCCTTAAAAAAGTATCACATAAATATATATCTATTATGATATATTGCCATACATGTCTCAATGGTGTTGTTGCATTGTCAATAAATAATTATAATTCTTCCTCATATTGGCTGCTATGGATCCTCATATATACAAGTAGAAAAATTACTATCATTATAACTTTAAAATGTAATTCTGGTGGGATTCTATTTGAACTTGGTATTTGCCAGTATTTGTTCTTTCCACCAATTTTAAACTTTAGTCAGTTATGTGCCATGCGTGATACATTTTTGATGAGGCAGATTTTTTTTTCCCACAATAGGTTGCCATTTCTTTCTGCAGTAGACCAGTTGCCATACAAGGCTATAGGACCTGGTCTGTCCTGCTATTTACCCATAGCTGGGGGGAGAAGAGGATTCATACCTTTCCTAAAGGTATTAGCACATAAGTGAATGTAATGGATTCAACTGGAATTCAAACTAGGCTCTCAATCCAAGCTGCTATCCACTACTCGATTATGCCTTTTAAACTTTATAAAGCAAAACTGATAGGTTTTATAAAAACACTAACACACACACACACAGGGTTATGGCCATATCACAGTGAAACACCAGTTCTCATGCTATCACTAATGTTAAACAATGTCGAGCCTGGTCAGTACCTAGATAGGTGACCACTTGGGAATACCAGGTGCTCTAAACCTGGATGTGCAGGTGATGTAATGGATAATTAATTAGTAAGACTTGTATCATTAAATCATTATTATCTGCAAAAGAATAATACTTATAATTTAAAGATATTTCTGGGTTTTAAATAACCTGCAAATGGTTGATAAGCCCTAGAAAATGAAACAACCAAGAACACACACACACACATATATATATATATATATATATATATATATATATATATAGGATTAATACAAATATAAAAGTTGTCACTTAGCTGACTGATGTTATATTCAGCACCCCCCCATAATATATATATAATCGTGTTCTTTTGTTATTATAATCATCATCATACTAAATTATCTAAGTTTCATGCATGGGAATATGTGTTAATCTATGTGGAAAGGATATGATAGAGAAAGTCTGTGTGTGTCGAAAACACACAATCTAAACACTCCATTGTGACCTATTATCTCTGGTATAGGCATTTCTCCTTACAAATTAGCAAAAGCTGGAGCTAAAATTTTAACGCCTCTTTTAGGAACAATCAGCCCTTCACACCTAAAAAATTCTGGAGATCTCGTCAACAAACTGAAAAACATAAATTTTATATATATATATATATATATATATATATATATATATATATATATATATATATATCCATCCACAGACAGAATATTTCACTGTATCACAGCTCATCAGTGTGTCTAGACATCCAATTACTTCAAGCTGGGATCAAAACGCAACTGATTTGGCATCACACCCAAGTTACCATTGCACGGAAGAGCAGAAGGGAAATTTTAACAGTTTTACTATGCAAAAGACACCAGTAGCTTGGCAAGCTTGTTTCAAGTAGAAGAGCATTGCATTAGCAGCAGCAGCCACTGTTTATAAAATCACCACTTCCTCACAGAGCTCAATACCTACACACACACACATGCATAGGGGTGCTGATAAGTTCTTAGCCTGTCCTTTGGGAAAATAGGTCATGCTGAGAACTTTTCAGCACTCAGAACCCACCTGGTGTGTGGCTAGATAGATATATACAGATATATACAGATATAGACAGTGTGGGCATAAGAATCAACATGGCATTGTGAATCCCAGTTTCAGACCGAGATCACCTGTAGTGTTAAAACTGACAGTTGGCATAACCTGTTGATTCCTATGTCCACACTGTCTATATCTAAAAATACTCTATCTCCAATATTGGTATTGTATAGTATCAATTTTTAAAATGAGTAATACTGGTTTTTCCTTGAAAATCAGCATAGAAGATACCTCCACTAAAAATATGCAACAACTCTCATACACAGACTTATGTGTATATATATATATATATATATATATATATATATATATATATATATATATATATATATAAAAATAAGAATATAAATCTCACATATACATAAAAATAATCTTACATACATTGATTCTATTTCAGTTCAAAATTCCAGTGTATATCACCTGAAGAAAGCTGGCCAAAATGTTGTGAATATGACAATAAAGATAAGGACAACAGTCCAAACAATGTAAATAGTATAAATAACAACAAATCATATGCACATAAAATAAGTTAGTAATTTTACATCTATGCATGCTTATTCCTTTATAGTCAAGTCATATCAGCCATTGTTGGGTAGAAGAAGAAAAAAAAGAAGCATTTTAGATAAAAGTGATTATATATCTAATAAGGAAGCTAATGCTGATAAAGACTCTTCACAAAATGGAGGTAAAGAAAATTGAATTGCAACAATTTGAAATGAAAAAGAAACACTTTCTGAAATTGTTTTCCAGAGGATAATTTAAAATTTCAAAAACTCCTTCCCCACCACCCTTATTTAATGAAATAATATTTCATGAAATCATATTTGATGAAATGATATATGTTGGAAAATTGTTTTATTGTTTGATATTTGAAAGAATGTTTGAAAACTTTTATTGCAATATATTTCAGAGGGATATTCAACTTCCATTTTTTTTTTTAATGATATATATCATATTATTTTCTTTACTGCGGTTCAGTTAACTTGTTCTTTAAGTTGAGATGCTATTATATATTAATTGTAATATGTTCTTTCTTCTAACTGGCATATAAATAAAATATATATTTTCTTTAAAAGAATATTTAAGTCATTCATTTATTTCAGTAACTAAACACTAACTGAGAAAAAACTATTCAAGAAGTTCAGTTTTTAAATTGGACTTATTTGACTATTTATGTATTTATGTATGAATATTTTGATTTGGATATTACATTAAGCCTGTTTATATTCACTTTAAACCAATGCCTTTTGGGAAAGGCATATACTCATCTCTGCTTATGTTCTGTCCCATTGTCAGATATCTTGATAAACTTTTCATCTCTAACCTGCCACTGTATTTGAATGGAAACAAAAGGGATGAGTAAGCATTTAAACAAACCATTCTCCCATAACTATCTAGCCTTTCCAACTGTAAAATAAGACTTTGCAATCTAGTGCTGTACTTAAATTCTTAGTCTACATACCATAGAGGAAAGTAATATTTATTTTGAATAATACTAAAATGTGGCACAAGGCCTAAAGGAGGGATAGAGGAAGGCTGGTATTCAGTCTGCCATCTTGAAAATTAGCTAGCCATGATTACTGATCCAGACATACCACAGTATTCCTTACAGCAAAACAACACATTCTTACTTACCATTACAGCCACCATAATACCTCAGTCTCTATGTAGTCTTAACTAGTTTCCATATATACAATTTGTTCATGGTGGCGGTGGTAGGTGTGATAAAAATAACATCATTTAAAAATGAAAACCCAATGAATATTTACAATGAAAACAATTAGAGGAAAGTTCATCAAAACAATTACAATGAAATTATTTATAGAAAAGGCACAGGGAATCTATATTACACCAGTGGGAAAGTGACTGAAGGCAAGATTCCAGGTCAGAACCAATAACATTGCAGATTCTTTGAATTTTATATCTCTATATATTTGTATCTCTAAATACATAGCAGAAGCACCAGAACAGATGTAACCAAAGAATGATCAGATGTTATTTTTCAAAAAGACAATTCTCCTACCCACCCCACAAAAAAAAAGCTCACCAGAAAGTATTCTGGAAATAAGTGCAATCAGGTTCATGTTTGGGCCTAGTTAGAGTTCAAATTTGAAGCCTGAATAGAATATTTGGTCTTGTCTTTCTGTTAAAAGCTATCCACACATTTAACCACAAGGCTTAAACATTTCAAGAAATGAAAGGAATGTTTCTCATACTTTATACTTTATCTTTTCATGTGTTTATGCTTTTATCTATTTGTTTAATTCTTGCTTATTTCTTAACCAATCACTTGTCTTTGAGACCATTAAAGGCTTAATGTTTTGCAATTTGGGGCTTGGCACATTTTTTTTTATCCAGGAATGTCATCTATTTGCTTAGCCCAACTAAGAGTTAATTTTACCTTGCTGTTCGAACAGCAAAATACTGGTCTAATAGATATGCCACTTACTTACCTCCAGGTTAGATGTTCAAATCAAGACAGTATTCACTTGTTAATTTAATATATCTATATTTAATTTAGTAACAGATGTTTGGGACAGAAAAGTCACACTGTTCTTCTTACTATATCACACACAAAGTATATTTTTTGTTTGTAATGTCTGTAACTTTTAATTTTGCCAGTACAAGGGAGATAACCAGATGGCAGATTGTTCAAATAAATAATACTGAGGAAGGATTATTTTTTGTGAAATCTATAAATGACTAGAAACAAAAAAAATGTCTCAGAGATTGATCAACTATAACTGGAAAAAAATATTTAAAGATTCATACTCAAAAATCTGATAATAATGAAAACTTAACAAAGCACGCCTTCCTTTTTTTTATGGCATGGGTAAACTAGTACATCTGTTTACAATGCTTAAGCAGTCAACCATTTCATTCAATTGATAAAATTAAGGTCAAATTATATGTAATGAATTAACCTCAAAATTAACCTCTTTTTTCACATTTGTTTGCATTTTTTTGTTAAATTTTTCTAATAGGCCTCATCAATGATTTTACGTTTAAGGTTATTTTAATTATGTAAGCTGGCTTTTATTAAATGAATTACTACACTTAGTTAAGTCTTTTTTGCTATCTGCTTGTTATATTATTTGGCTAGTATCACTGTTACTTTTCACTGTAAATTTTCTACTTGTGACAGCACAAAGCAATATAACCATTCTATCTTACCAAGGTTTATAGCATTTACTTAAAATGATATGTCAAGTATAATAATGCATGATTTCCCAGCAATTCAATTAAAGATTCTCTCTCTTTATGCACATGCACACACACACATATATATATATATATATATATATATATATATATATATATATAGTCTTAAGATGTGCTATATTTATGGGATAAAGTGCTCAATATCAGAGATAGAGCGTGTGTAAATATAAAAGTGCTTATGGCATGAAACAGACTGTTGCCTCTAAGTGTTGACTTCTGTGTTCACTTTTATATATACATACATACACACACACACACAAAAAAAAAAACAACAATGTCGGTGAGACAAAAAAAGAATTTGCCAAAAGACCTAATTCCTTAGACAAGAAAAAAAATTCACAAACAAGAAAAGAAAAAGGACCAAAAATCAAACACCTAATTACACAGTAAATTAAAGTGCTTAATGTCTAGATTATTTGGACAGAGCAAAAAACACTTCACAACATCAACACTCAACAAGAGATAACTTGAGTCTCTACTCAAGTTTCATGCTCTCATGATGTTCAGGTGACTAGCAGACATATATATGAATATATTCTTTAGCTTACACCTTCATGGTTTTTGACTTGTACTATTAAAAAAAAAAGTCTTATCCAAGAACTTAGTATCAAGATAAATACAGAGAATTATTCTATCATCATCTTTGAAAATACCTACAATCATAGCTTCAAATGGTACAACATCTCTCCACCCAACATTGTCCTCTAAGTTGTTTTTATTGACCGTTTCTATGAAGGTTGTAACCTCTTGCT